CGGTAGCTGGACCAGAAGGAACATCAAGATCCATTAGGTCAAACTTCATCTTCTTATCTGGTGGTGCTCCAAGTTCCTCGCCAGCTTCTTTGCCACGGATTTCATCAAGGATGGCACGTTGACCAGCTTCAACCATCTCAATCTCCACGAGATTGCGGGCATCGGCATCCTCTGCGACTCTTCTCCAGCGGGTAACCCAGACGGCCTTGTCGCGGTTGGTGACTAGTTTAGCAACAAGATCAGGATGATCATAGTCGAAGAGTTCCATGAGGTCGTTCTCAACATCGCGTAGGGACTTTAAAGTTCCATTCTCGTCCTTTCCGCCGAGAATTTCAAGTGCCTCATCTGCTTTCTCGTGCTGGACGTGAGCATCTGTGTATATCGCACCGATTTGACGTTGTAGCCAGTAAGCATCGATTTGGCGAGCCGATACTTTCAATCCGGTCTTCTCTGCAGCTTTATCAGTTTGACCAAGACCTCCATCAATGACCATTTCATCTCCATCTCCGTCTTCGCCTTGGGCTGCTGCGGCTTCATCAATTGCAAGTCGGTCTTGTTCATCCTCTTCTTCTTCGTCGCTGAGCTCATCCTCATCTCGAACTTCGTCGATGGTGCCCATGCGCTCATCATCTTCGTCTTCGTCGAAGACGACAGCAACACCTTGGCGTTCATCTAGTTCGCCACCCTCTTCCTCGAGGCCACCTTCCATCTCTTCCTCTTCGTCCTGGGCATCGTAGTCTGTAATCTTTTTTCCCAGGTTCATGAGCTCGTTGAACTCCTTGGGATTCATAGAGGTTCCCAGAAGATCATCAATCTCCTTCTTTTTATCGAAATCCTTCATCTCTTCATCTTTCAGGAGTTCCAACACAGCATCGGCGGCACTTCGGACGACTTCATGGGGGACATCGCCCAGCTGGCTTCCGGTGATTGTGAGAATAAGGTCATAAGTGGCTCGCGTGGCGGGTGTGCGAGGACGGTATTTCAAGCCTTCGACGAAGGCATCGGCTGCTGAAAGGATGCCCTGGCCCCGTAGTTGTGCTGGTTGGCCGCGGTGGCGCTTTTTCTGTTCGCGTAAAAGCACATCTTCACCTTCACCAATTGCGCCCCGCTCGAGAGATGTCGGAGCTGTCTTCTTAGTTTTGGGCGCGTTATCACGCGCGACTCGTGCACCCATCTCCCGGATCCCAATGCGACCTGCTAGAGACTCCGGGTCTCCAGTGGGTTCGTCATGGGTGCGACTGATAAAACGACGGTCCGCCTGGAGAACCAGGTTGGACATCGCCGAGTACTTGTACTGCGAAATATTTTGATCTGCCATGTTGGGTGGTTGTATTGTTGAATCAAGAAAAAAACGATGCAAGAAAGAGTGAGTTGCGACAAGAATCTGCCTGCGGAGGGTCAAGATTCAGACCGCGCCGAGACACGAGATTTCGGCGATTGATCGATTTTAAATGGTCTCACAAACCTGGCTCATCCTCCTGCTGCAAGTAATATCACTTGTAAAGGAGAAATATCAGCCAAGGTTGTAGATAGATGAAGTCAAGGAGAGTGCAGCTCGGGAAGATTTCGGTGGCGAAGGCGGAAGGAGGGGAGCTTTGATGGTTCTGCCACTCCAAATCGTTTAGAGCGCGTCGCAACAATGCGCCCTGTTCTGTCTATTTCTCATTTGATGCCAGTTTGTATGAGACCAGTTACGACGTTGATACGTTCACCTTATCGCTGCCGCATACATCGGACTATATGTCATCATGCGCATCGAACCTCCATACATCCACGCGTGTCCACCGCCGCACCGAAAGTTTACATACGAAGCGCAAAAACCAAGGCGACAGCAAAGTTGAAAGACCTCCCTCAAGGAGTTTTGAAACTTGAGACATACGATGATCGGGTGGATGAGGCTCCTCGTTACCCGACTGTGGTGCAGGGGCACCGAAATAATATGCAGACGTTCAAGAATTGTGTCATCTTGACACGAGTCGGGAGCTTTTATGAGGTACGATAATAGGCGCTACTTAGCTATAGAACTCCCTACTAAGATCGTATTCTGTAGCTCTATTTTGAACAAGCAGAGGAGCTGGCGCCGTTGCTGAATCTCAAGCTCGCGACCAAAAAGACCAACGGCGGGCCGGTTCCAATGGCTGGCTTCCCCTTCTTCCAGCTTGATCGTTTTCTCAAAACCCTTGTCGGAGACCTCAACAAGTATGTTGCTATCAGTGAAGAGTTCGCCATCAATGCGGAAGACGAGGCACGCACAGGGGGCCTCCTATTTGACCGGAGGGTTGCTAGGATCATCACACCCGGCACGCTGATTGACGAGAAGTTTATTGATCCTTCCGAACATAATTTCCTATTGGCCATATACCTGGATGTCCCGTCTTTGCAATCGCAATTAAAGCAACATGCTGACAACGATCTCCAATCATCGCACCAGCATATATTGTCCTCTGTGCCCCAGCAAGTGGGATTGTCATGGCTTGACCTCTCAACTGGTGATTTCTTCACTCAGCTCACAACGACCCAAATGCTTCCGTCTGCGATTGCACGGATTGGGCCTCGTGAGATCCTGGTAGATCAGAATGTGCAAGATCTTATTGGGCATGAATTGCAAATGCTCGTTGGACACGATCATCGTCTTATCACCTTCTTTCAATATCCTGGAACATTCAAACCGGTATCTGAATGGGGGACAATGTTAGAGTCTCCCGTTCCTGAAGATGTTCGCGCCTCCTTCTCACTGGAGGAAGTAGCAGCTGGGTACAGCCTGCTCGAGTACATTCGTGTGCAGTTGCAAGGATCAAATCTCAAGCTTCAACCTCCAATTCGAAGACATTTAAATGAATCAATGAGCATCGATCGTAACAGTCTGAGTGGTCTCGAGATTTTAGAAACAGCAAGAGACGGTTTTGGGAAAGGAAGTCTTCTGCACGCTGTGCGTAGGACCTCTACCAAAAGTGGTGCACGGCTTTTACGAGAACGACTGAGTATGCCTAGCTAAATTCCAACCTTTTTTTTGTGGCTTTTACTGATGCAATACACGCAGCCTCCCCATCCACATCCTTACAAGTCATCAATGAGCGTCTGGACCTTGTCTCGGTCTTCATAGAACATGTTCAGCTCCGTGATAGCGTCACCCAACTTTTGAAGCGCAGTCATGATTCTCAACGTCTAGTTCAAAAATTCGCTTTTGGGAAAGGTGACCCGGATGACTTGATTTATCTTTCTCGTGCCATTGAGGCTTCCAAAGGAGTCAGACAAGTTCTTCTCGATCACAATAGACTTTCGGTCTCATCCAGCACTTCAGACCTGAATCATAGTCTTGCTGTCATGATCTCTCGGCTTTTTCTCGATGGCCCCATTGCGCTGGCGAATCAAATTCTTGCGGCCATTGATGAAGAAGGCTTATTACAAAAGCAACGCATCGAGGATAGTACTGCAGCAGAGGCCACCAGTCTGGCACAAAAGGTTACTATGAATGAAGCCACACCCAGCGAGCTCGAAACACTGCCGAAAAAGGCCAGAGTCAAGAAGGGAGAGCGAACGGCTGTGGCTGATACGGACTCCGGTCTCCCCGACACCTGGATTATGAAGTGTAACGCAAGTAAGACTTTGAATGTACTCCATGCGGAACTGGAACGGTTGGGCGATGAAAAGACTTCATTGACCCAACATCTTCGTAATTCGGTTGATTCATCAGCCCTGAGCCTTAAGTGGACACCAGGGTTGGGCCACATCTGCCACGTCAAAGGGGCAAAGATATCCCAAAAATCCCTAGAAGACTTGGGGGTCATTCGAAATGTCTCATCAACCAAATCTACCCGGTCATTCTATCTACCAGCCTGGACAGAGCTAGGAGTAAAAATGGACCACGTGAAGATTCGGATCCGTCAAGAAGAGCAAACGATATTTGAAAGTCTGCGTCGCGAGGTCATCCTGAACCTTATCAAAATTCGCCGAAATGCAGCAGTCATGGATGAGTTGGACGTGGCGTGTTCATTCGCAACTCTTGCCCACGAACAGCAAATGGTACGGCCGATTCTCAACGACAGCACCTGCCATAAGATTGTCGGTGGAAGACATCCCACAGTCAAATTGGGCTTAGAGGAACAAGGACGGTCGTTTGTGAGCAATGATTGCTTCCTAGGTGACTCCGAGCGGATCTGGCTCATTACTGGCCCCAATATGGCAGGTAAAAGTACCTTCTTGCGACAAAACGCTTTAATCACAATCCTCGCACAAGTTGGATCTTTTGTGCCCGCAGCTTATGCTGAGATTGGTATTGTCGATCAGATCTTCAGCCGAATTGGTGCAGCAGATGACCTCTTCCGTGACCAGTCGACGTTCATGGTGGAGATGTTGGAAACAGCTACTATTCTCAAACAAGCCACGCCCAAGTCATTTGTGATTATGGATGAAGTGGGCCGAGGCACAACCCCCGAAGATGGCACAGCTATTAGCTTTGCATGCCTGCATCATTTACACAATCATAACCAGTCTCGAGTGCTTTTCGCTACTCATTTCCATGCCCTTGCAGATATGACAGAGGACTTTGAAAAGTTGGCAAGATACTGCACCGATGTGAAAGACATGGCTACGGGCGCCTTTTCTTTCGTCCACCGACTGCGGAAAGGTGTCAATCGCCAGTCTCACGCGCTGAAGGTTGCCCAACTCGCTGGTTTGCCCGAAGAGACCCTCAAGCTGGCTAGGCGGGTCCGCCATGAAAAGAGGGATGAAATTCCATTTCCGGTTGCTGATGAACATCAACCTCGGCGTGCTTGAGGGCGAAATGTCGTGGTAAATATCCATGTACTTCAAGGTATGTAAGATATGTATGTATTCATGTACAAAAATTTCGGCTTCTTCTGTTAAAAATACCACCCAATCACAGCGCAAGGCTGGCAAATGCTTTCCTCGCTTCTAATTCTAATGCCCATCGTCGGAGTCTTCAACTTTAACCCAAACACTTGAAAGTCCTTTTTTTCCCATAGATATGCATCTACAAATCATAACTTAGCCGACCACAGTCCCGCCCCCTTCTCAGCCGGACTAAGTTGACCCTTCCGACCAAGATCAACTACAATACCCTCTCCAAACGCAGCCTCCTGACAATCTTCATCACCAATCCCATTAACAAACTGCACAACGACAAAATCAACCCTCCTCCGACCCAAAACAACCATGGGAGCATGCCATGTCCCAACACCATAAGTTACCGCCTGGCCACCACGGGCAATAAACGCTTTAACATTATCTAAATCAGGTGGGTTACGAATAGTAACTGTCTCACCGGCCTCATTCATCGCTGTAGCCGTTCTCCCCTTCAAAGTGGGGGCAACAACAACCAAAAACAGCGGTTCTTCCTCGCCATCCCCGACCTTCCTATGGGCCGATAGGTCGACGGGAATGAAAGTCTGATTTGTAAACGGGTGGCGCTCCAGGATCCGCACATCAAAGACCTCCGTGTCAGACAGCTGGGGGCCGGTGCTGACAGCGCGCAATTTGCGCAATTTCCGCGGGAAACAGCAGAACATGGTCATGCGTGCCTCGGAGGGCTGGCCGCTTGGACAGGCATTTGTGTAGCGGTCGAGGAGCGGGGAGATAGGACTGTATTTGAGAGCAGAATTTTGGTTCGCCAGGACCGGGGTAGGGTTACGTGGCGGTAGGGATGATGGTTGAGGGGCAATATTTAGTTGTCGCGGTAATGGGGAGACCACTGCGGTGCCGAATCGTGCGAAGTTCTCCGGTGTAAGAGGCTCCGGGGTGAGTGTGACTGTTGGGTTGGCTGAGAGGGTCGGCGCCATTGCGAGCTTTTAGGTGTAGGTGTGTGGGTGGATGTGTGTGTTGGTCAGTCGCTTGGAATCCGCCACCTTCTAGCGTGCAGGTCTATAGCTCTATGGGAGGGAGAGAAAAGAAATGAAGAGAAATTGGATTGGATGTGGTTTAAGCTAATGCGGATATATTCCGAAGTCGGCCCCTCCGGTGATCAGATAAGCGGCCGGGACCGGGGAAGTATAGAAGTTGTTCAGCATATTCATTTTCATATAGAACATCACTAGGGGGATAACGTAAAGGACTGCTTGGATTACTCTTCCGGTTCTTTTGGTGTTCATATCAACCAAATTGCAAGTTCTTCGGGGTGTGTTTCCTCTTGGCTCTACGCCTAAGTATGAGAATACGTCAGTCTCTTACGACGATAAAATTAAAATTGGTCCCTGCACAAAAACTGGAACTTGTTTCAAAATTGGAATGCTCTTGCACTAATTTCCGTGCTGAAACATATCTTTAGGTGCAAAAACTTGGCCGTCAATACTGATATAGACATAACCTCAGAGTATGTACATCTGTAGATGGTTGGGTGTAACTAAGTGCGGGGAATCAGTTTGTTTCACCGTTTATATCTATACATTTAGCCATATGATTGACTTTGATTCGCTCTTTATTCTAGTAAAGTCGGTCTAGGAAGCATAAATCCATTGTGTTGGATGTACAATCATGTACTCTGTAGTACTTGGTCGGTTAGCACGGGTAGATCTCAATCTGAGTCAATAGTCAATTTAAAAAAAAGTTCTTGGAAGACAACAAAGTCTTGGGGATTATATGGTTCGCACACTAGCTGCAAGGCAACCAGTGCTTGTCGCAATGAGTTCCATAACTTGGCCTTGTTTACTCCTTGAATGAGGCTCTGGAGACTGTGAAATAACATACTGGGCCGATATTACCTGCACATAGTTACTTGACGCTGGCCAATGAGTCACATACTCCCTCCATCCTCAACGACACACGCGAAATGATGGCGATAGTAGCTATTGATCTATTGGGTCCATTTCTCCGGACCCGATACCTAATCCAGTGATGGCAATACAGATTTGGATGAAGTTCACACACCGGTGTTTGAGAACTGCAACTCGGTGGCATTGAATTCTTGATGGTTTCTTGGTGCTATATGGAAGGCCCAGATATAAAGTAATTATAATTTCCTCTTGCCTTAAAGTACAGCACCTTCTGTCCTCCCCTTGGTATTTGAAACAGCCTGTTCGTGTTTAATCGTGCTTGAAATACTGTGGGCCAACTCGTGCCATTGGAAAGTAATATTGCTCTGCTCAAACCATATCATTAAATGCTACAATGAATTCTTCAAACCAATCTTTGCCCCAACAAGCTCCCACCACGGGTACCTCAACTACTGCCGTTGCAAGTTCATCCACTCCTACATCAAGCTCTAACTATACAGAGCCGAGATTAAGGTAAGCCAAATAGTTGCTGTCTCTTTTATTCCACCTTGAAAGTAATTAGCTGACACGAGCTCGATGACCTAAATAGCGACAAGGAAACATTCGAACGAAACATCGACTACGTGGGCAGTTGGATCGAACCATCCGACCTCAATCACCCAGAGGGATTTTTACTGACTAGTTAGAGACTGGGTGGACAGCCGAGTCTACCGAGAGGTAGCTATACGGCCACATCAACAATGCGGCTATTTGTTGGGTCTGAGAATTATACGTGCAGGAGATTGTGAGCTGGTTCGTGTCTGAAGGATGCATTAGTTTGCCGATGAACACACCCATGCATCCGGAGCCCGAGCACTTCCGAGATTGACGGAATTATTTTTCTGCCTATGACGCCTATTTGGAGGAATGATACACTAATGTATCTATACTTAATGTTGGAGATCCTAGCGGGGGGGTCTAGGGGGGAACTTGGACCGATGATACGAACATATGACTTGATTTGCTGGGGGGTTTTTTTCTACTTTCCTGCTTTCTTTTTCTCTTTGATTTTCTTTTCTTTTCTTTTGTCTTTGTTTTGGACGAAAAAAAAAGACATCACAATGTGATAACAAAAGAACTGAGGGGGAGAATGACCAGGGTATGCAGCAATCATTTATCCTGCATTATATGCCAGAAAATGGCAGATTTCGAGATTTCCCGGAGATCTGAGACCATGAGTGTGGAGGCCAATACCAAAGGAATTTGATGTTTTAGCCGATGGACATGCTATGTGTACTTACGCTGATGCGGCGCTTTTTCCCCTCCTTTCTTATCTCGGATATTTATCCTGTTGATTAAATTACGTGGTGCGGGTCATCGATTAGTTTGATTCTGAATTGAATCGTTTAAACGTGCATGTAGGTGTAACATCAAGTCGCATCCTTGATGCAGCCGTGCCCAAACCAGGAAGACGTCTATGCGTAACGGAGTAGGATACAAGGATGACATGGCCAAGAGCTACTAATCAGCTTACCACTGCCGAAGTCACACTTATAGGGCTGAGAAGAAGTCTCTGCACGTATGAAGCTTTTGCCCCCGGGTCGCTTTACCATCTGCGGCCTCAAATCCTTCTGCGAGATCACTGGTAATCCATAAACTAAGGAATTTCGATACATACGTCATACAGGCCTCACAATCCCTCTGTCTAATGAATATCTGATAATTTGGAATTTGATGATCCTCAAATTGTGTAAGAATATGGAATGGAAAAGTTGTTGATAATCCCTGGTCAGGCAGTCACTATTACACAATAAGGTGGTTTGTTCTTGAGGAAGAAGATGTATTCCCATGTACAGAGTAGATAAATCAGAAGAAAAAAAGAAGGAGGGGAGAGGGGGGCTATGCAATTGGATACTTGACTCTGATAGCTGGTGATAGTGGTCAAAGTTTGGCTTCCATTCATTGACCATACTGCCAATGGAAACAGGAGTGTGACTCCCAAAAAGGAGAGTGACCATGTAAATTATATTATCCAGGGCTCCTCGGATAACTTATGTAAGATAAAGCATAGTTAGTTAACTAGGTAGTTAACTACATGCGTCGCATTCAGGCCCCTAACAATACGGGTTGTTGGGGAGATGGGCCGGCCCTCAGCCCTAAAATCCACGCTTCAATTATCAACTGTAATCTTTGCATATAATTGGTGCCTAATATAGTCATCTAGAGTCCCTTTGTTGGTTATTTTTTCCGTGATTCTCAAAATCAATCGAGTGTTACCGTTGATCATTTTCGGGGTCGTAAGATTGTCTATGTCGAAGGGCCCTGTCCATTCGTGCATTGCAATTATTGCTGCCAGCTCAAGGATATCGTGGGACTCGAAGCCCCATGCGATTAATATCCACTGTTTGGTCTCTTCTAAATATAAGTATGAGAATAGGTGCTTGATTGTTTGTATCCACATCTTAGCTTCCATCTTGACCACCTCGTAGTATTCAATACAGTCTGTGACCACGGCGACCTCACTAACCTATCATATAGATATTAGTCAGAGAAGGTCTCTAGGGTGTATAGTTAAGTCAATTACACCCCATTTATCATCTGTCCTTTCTGAAAGAAACCTTAGAATGCCAGAGATTGAAATATAAGAAACCATAAACCACAGCACTTGCAGGGATCATCTTCAATTGATTAGTATCAAAATAGGTATTGCAATCCCATATACCACGCTCTAACAGGTGTAAAATTAAAATGAACATTATATGTTGTTCAAAATTTTGAGGCCTTGCTAGGGCATATATAAGGTGCAGCAAACAAGAGCGGATCCATATGATAATTTTGATTCACACATCTTTCTTCTCTGTATATATATAATATATGGAATTGTGGGTTATTGTCACATCGGATTCCTCTCGGATAAAGATAGTGCCATATGTAGAAGTTGAGGTTATATCGAAGCAAACGGCTGGTCATATATAGACTTGGACAAAGGAGCTACCTTTTCGTGTGGAGCCAAAGCTTCTATAAATTTCTGTGCATGATGCTCATCCTTTATCCGTTGAGACCTTCACATAGTGTTACTTTCTCGCTCTTCTCACAACTGAAATCTTGCTGAGATCCTACCTCCACTTCACTTGATATGTATCATTAAAATATTAGGCTGTAGTGGTGTATAGCATATTACACTGGCACGTTAGCATATCAATTTTGATTGAGCACTCAACTAGGCTGTGTTTCAACCAGAGCGGAGGGTATCTAAATCCTAGGACTCTACTATATAAAGAGTAAGCTCAGATGGAGAGGGCTTTCGGTTCCTTTGTATCAACTAGAAGAACGAGGTATAGTGATGATTTATCGGATTTTTCTACTCGAAGATCTAGCTGGCTAATCGGCTTAAAAATAGGCTAGATTCATTATAACTCGGACTCCTAATGGTGATTCTACGTAGATCGCTGATTCACTTCCATTTATCATATATAAGTCTGTGGCTGCATCCCCGTACTCTACCAAGGATATCCCGTTAGAAGATGACCTGATGGCGATCTACTGAAAACAGAATGTTACACTTCCTGTATAAATCTCATTGCTCCCTTGCTAGCTTGGGGCAAGCATATTATAAATCCCCCGCGGCCTAAGGACAGAGAAGCCCGGTACTCAAGGATTGAGCTTCTACGCTTGTTATTCACAAAAACTTCTTCTGCGTGAGCCGCTGTTCCGGTTCACACATTTCAGGTCCTCGCACAACACCGCCCTTCATATGCACTGAATGTTTGGAAATGATCCAGCAAAAGTTGAGTCTACCTGATTCCTGTGCTTCGATTCGCAGGATTTGGGAGGCCTCAAGCTTATCGATTCCCTCCAACATTCACAGCATACTTACAACTTCATTAAAGCACCTCGCACTTAAAATATCACTAATCATATTCTTCCAGACTCTAACCTCCAAGCCAGGTAGAATTGTATCGAAAATTTTGAACTTCTGATCGAAAAACACATTTTAACGCTATCAGAAGGCCTATTTCGATGCTCTGCCACTTGCGGTGTAGCTCTCTTAGGCGTCTTGCTCCGTAAAATGATGAAAATGAAGACATCTTGCTCGCTCGACACAGCCCGCTCTGCTCCATCGGTCACTATCGATATCCAGGGGCTTAGTCCTGCCTCTATCTACTCGATGATTCAGGGGTAGGACTCGAATATTTCTTGCCGTCGTCGTTCTAGTTAATGTCCCAAAGAAACACATCCTTTGGGATGATGCAAAAAGGCGAGCGACGCGAATTCATTGCTCGCTGAAGGGGCTTACGCTTACCTTCTAAATCATTTATTTTGGTATGTGCCTAGGGACCGCCAGCAAAACCTTCGCTTGTGCCACTACATAAGACAAGTTAGGCTGATCTTTACTCTTCATACAATCCTATATTTCGCATCTACTCCGATCTTCCTACAACAAAACTCAATTTCACACACCAAAATGAAAACCCATGCCTCACGGAACATCAATTTTCGCTAAATCGAAGGAACGAGATATGAAATTGCGCATTCTGTGTCAATACTCAGGTGGAAGGGCCCAGAAACCCCCAAACTACGAGACCTACGTGTGGTGAAGCTCCCTACCATGATGTACTCCTACCAGCCCATTACCTTGAAGATCGCCAGAAACCTAATGAATATGGACTCTTTGCTGCAGGTTATTGTGTTAATAGCCCAACCACAAACAATCATACTGGTCGGTAGTGGTTTAAAACCGATAGTTTTCTATAAAGTTGACTAGCAAACCACTTGAAATGTGTATTGATGACCTACTATGGGATACTGAAATCCATCCCTATAACTCCATTCCAGCTATGCTATACTTCGGAAATGTCAACAGGTCCCGGGCTCGAGTAACGGAACCACTGTGGTGATGATTATGTTTCACACTGGAAAGTGGAGGGTAGGAGTAATCAATATACTGGCTGGGAAATACTCTTCAAGAGACGATAGAATATCTCTGGGTATCATATTGTTCTGCTCTTCAGCGGCGCGTACATCATCAAGGCGTATTGGGTAGCGATTGGAGTCACAGCGGTTGCTTAAAAGAGTCTCAATTGAAACACCAGGGAAATGTTTCGAGCAGTTTGGCTCACAACGTATGACACTCGCTAAGAATAGAAAGTCAGAATATCAATATTCCTGATTTCTGCCAGTGACAGAGGAACGGACTTCCTCAGCAACAAAAAATTAGAGACGCCGTGCACGTTTGAATCAAGTAGCACTCTCTCCTTTTGCCTCAAAACGTGCTTTCTTTGCTCGTCGTTTGATTTCTCGCTTAGACAAAGGCTTGTCAGCGTCTTCCGTAACAGGCTCGGAACTGACGGAAGCTTTTCTCTTGAGACTGTCCACTCCATTTTCTGACTGCGTGGGTTCTTTGACCTTTTGGGTGCTCTTTTTCTTTGCCGCGGGTCCTTCAGGTTTGGCTTTCTCCCCACCGTGGACGATATCCACGATGCCTCGCCAACTGGTTCGCTTTAACTTGGCCAATGCGGTCACCTTCCGCGACTCTTCGCAGACTGCTTCCTTTCCGCGCTCTTGTGATAGACCCCAAACACAGGCAAGATTTATCACGTCCCACGGGGCTCGTAGACCCAAGGCCCTTCTTGCTTCGCTGGATATAATAATCCCTCGACCGCGTGTCGCGCGGATCAAGGATGTTGCATTCCCAATGAGGTTTCTTCGGGAGTCAAGTCCACTCCCCGTTATCCCAGGACCATAGCAGATCTCTATACGGACTCCACGTGAGATTGCCGCGGACAGCATTTTGAATTTGAAGTGATATGGAAGTCGCACCGAAAGATCCACGGAGATCACGTCGCATTCCAAGTTGGTGCACGCATTTAGAAGTGATTTTTCATTTGTGGGACGTAGAGCAACGATGTCGTACGCTTGACTCAGGGCGGCTAGACGCTGATTCTGCGCGGGGTCCGCCAGAGTCAAATTTAACCGGGTCAGCAGTTGTAGGGATTTCGGAGCGCTTTTTGGGAGAGGAGGCGGAGCGAGACTTGGGGGAAGCTTCCCGTTGATCGTTTGAGACAGGGCTACGGTAGTGTAACCAACTAAAAAGTCAGGTCAGTCCCTCATGTGCTCCAGACTACGGATCTTGTGCCGCGGCGCGGAATGCATGACTTACGTTCGGCGAGGAAATTTAGAGTGTGAGGCACCTCCAGGTCATCAGGGCTGTAAGGTACATTTAGGTCGTAAAACATGGTGGGTTTAAAGGAAGGCTAGCCCTGCCCGTGGGAGTTATTGCTTTGACTTCTCAGCGCTCTTTGTCACATCGAACTGTCCCAAAAAGGCAATCAGAAAATCTATCGGATTAATAGAGGATCCGTCATTGCACTAAACTGCTTTAGGTCGAGTCCCCACAAACATCTCTGATCCCGTGACCCTAGGCGGAACGGATCTCATTCTACTGATCATATCACGACAATATCTCACTCCGTCCATCCCATTGCTCAAGGCTTCTTGTGAGCACTGTGTTTGGGCTGAATATTCGCTGGGCCTGTTTTTACCTGCCTACTACGTCAAGCTTACCACCCGGCTCCTCGCTCCGTCACACGGCCGAGCCCCTCGTGACCCCGCCGCACATCTCTCAATTGTGGGCGCACTCGGAAATCGCCTGTCATCGTCAAGATGGCGCGTGTCTATGCGGATGTCAACGAGCATATGCCTCGATCCTACTGGGATTATGACAGTGTCAACATCTCCTGGGGTATCCTTGAAAATTATGAAATCGTTCGCAAGATAGGTGAGAGATGATCAAATCCTGTCTGTTTGCAGGATGTCGGAGATGGTTGCCGCAATGTGAAATGCGGGAGAGTTCTAAGAAGGAAATTTCTGACTTTATCTACTTAGGTCGAGGAAAGTATTCCGAGGTTTTCGAAGGTATCAACGTCGTCAACTACCAGAAATGCGTTATCAAAGTTCTCAAACCTGTTAAGAAGAAGAAGATCAAGCGTGAGATCAAGATCCTGCAGAATCTCGCGGGTGGGCCCAATGTTGTGGCTTTGCTGGATGTTGTTCGCGACAACCAGAGCAAGACTCCTAGTCTGGTCTTCGAGGCTATCAACAACACGGATTTCCGTACACTGTACCCCCGCTTTACCGATTACGATGTTCGTTTCTACGTTTTTGAGCTGCTCAAGGCGCTGGACTTCTGCCACAGTAAGGGTATCATGCATCGTGATGTGAAGCCTCACAATGTTATGATTGATCATGAGAAGCGCAAGGTTAGTGGTTAGCAATTAGTTGTGGCGGAGAAGCATAGCTCTAACATATTATAGCTTCGTCTGATCGATTGGGGCTTGGCTGAGTTCTACCACAAGGGCACAGAATACAACGTCCGTGTTGCATCTCGCTACTTCAAGGGTCCCGAGCTGCTGGTTGATTTCCAGGAATACGACTATTCTTTGGATATGTGGTCCCTGGGTGCTATGTTCGCATCCATGATCTTCCGTAAGGAGCCTTTCTTCCATGGAGGCAGCAACACGGACCAGTTGGTCAAGATCGCCAAGGTTCTTGGTACTGAGGAACTCTTTGAGTACTTGGACAAGTACGATATTGAATTGGACCCGCAATACGACGACATTCTCTCTCGTTTCCCCCGGAAACCGTGGAACTCGTTTGTCAATGCAGAGAACCAGCGTTTCATCAGTGAGGAGGCCATTGATTTCCTTGACAAGCTTCTGCGCTACGACCATGCTGTAAGTCATTCTAACTTCTTTACAAGTTGGCTATACTGACTCATCTTAAAAGGATCGCTTGACTGCGCAGGAGGCCATGGCACATGCATACTTTGACCCGGTGCGTGCCGATGCAGCGGCCCTTAGCCACAACAATGTGACACTGTCATGAATTCCTTTCGCATTAACTGTTGATGACCATGGCTCTGATCTGCTTGCTGTGATGCCCGGTTTATAAGCATGCTGCCATCAAGATTGCGTCGGGTATCACAACAATTACGTACCTTCTGCATTTGAAATTTGCCGATATGAACGGTACAACGATGATCGAAAACATGAAACAAGCTTGGTCTTCGTACTCCCTGTTCCTCTTTTTCACTGGCCCTTCGAATTATGGGCTGCGGCAAACGATCAAATTTTGAATGAAGACGACTTTGATGACAAGACATCATGACATTTAATTTGCTGGGTCTTTCCAACCCTCTTATCGCCTAGGTCGGTTGGCGTGTCAATGAGCATGATAAACCAACGTCTTAGATGTGGAAATCACTCTTCTCTTTCATCTTTTCCTATTTGTATAGCGCTGCTCGTGGGTTTCCCTAATTGATTTCTCCCTTGTTAGTTGAATTGGTGTTTTGGCCTTTCTACTGGGTGCTTCGTGTTTCAAGGGATGATTTTTCGTAAGACAACCCATTGCATTTTCTTTAACGCTTCCCTTTTTATGAATGAAACATTGGATGAAATTAAAAAAGAATTTCAAGAAACCCTAGACTTGTATAAAAAAATTGATGTGTATAGGTCGGATTGTTCTATATATGACGTGTACACAGAGATGTCTGAACCCATGTATAGACTGATATAGTATACTCTGTAGCTAGACTCGAGATCAGGCCAGAAGAGGCACATAAAGAATAAATTATCTCTAATTTGGCAAATAATTCCAATCTTCCAGGCTTCAAACTTATAGATGTAGCCTCAGATCACCCATTGGCTCCAGCGTATCACGTGAGGGTTATCGCAATGTCTTTCTGAACAAATAAAAAAAAAGACGAATTGCAAGCAAGGAACACGCAAAGAAAGAGAATATAAGATATTCAATGATACTCAATGAGTGTTGAATGCACATAAACGCGCTTCATTGAACTGCCCGCCGACTCCACTGAACCTCCCTCCCACCAAGCCCCGCGCTCTCATTCGTTCATTCAGCGTGGAAATTTAATTGCCCGCATTTCGCACAACCACCCCTCCTTATACCTCTCCATCTCCCAAGATACTTATCCGGCGATTCGTGGCGCGATCGGCGCCTTGGAGCTTTACTCCTCAATATCGTGCATTCTCCAGGATGGCTCAAAACTCTGCCTCCCAAATCCCCAGTGAGTTTTGTGACTCATTCTCAGATGCCGCAGAGGCTTATAGTGAACAGCGGGTGAGCCTACGGCTCCCGTGGCCAACGCACCCTCTCAGATCGACGAACAGACACGCTCCCAGACTACCGATGCCACTGATGCTGCCGGAGCTCCCAAGGTGAAGACCGAGAAGGAGTGTACGTTGCCGCCAAAATCTATATTAAGACCTTTTCTCTGAAGTCGTTGTTATATCATAAGCATTTGCTGATATTACGGGTGATTTCTAGTGGAAAAGGAGCGCAAGAAGGCCGAAAAGAACAAGAAGTTTGAAGAGAAGAAGGCGGCCAAGGCCAAGGCTGCTGCCATCAAGGCCGCAGCTCCCAAGGCCGAGAAGAAGGTGAAAGTCGAGAAGGACAAGACCGCCGATGCCTATGACCCTATTGCTATCGAGGCCGGTCGTCTCGACTGGTGGGAGGAGCGTGATCTCTTCAAGCCCGAGTTCGGACCTGATGGCAAGGTTAAGCCGGAAGGCTCCTTCGTCATCCCCATTCCCCCTCCTAATGTTACCGGTTCTCTTCACATGGGCCACGCCCTTACCAATGCCCTCCAGGACACCATGATCCGGTGGCAAAGAATGAAGGGCAAGACTACCCTGTGGCTTCCTGGAATGGATCACGCCGGTATCTCAACCCAGAGCGTTGTCGAGAAGATGTTGTGGAAGAAGGAGAAGAAGTCCCGCCACGACATAGGCCGAGAGGCCATGGTCAACTTGATCTGGGATTGGAAGGATGAATACCACAAGAACATCAAGAACTCCCTACGCAGACTTGGTGGTTCGTTCGACTGGAGCCGTGAGGCCTTCACCATGGACCCCAACCTGTCAGCTGCTGTGACCGAGACCTTCGTTCGCCTCCACGAGGAGGGTATCATCTACCGTGCCAACCGCCTGGTCAACTGGTGTGTCGCTTTGAACACGTCTTTGTCCAACCTCGAGGTCGAGAATAAGGAGATCGAGGGCCGTACCCTTCTCGATGTGCCTGGGTACGAGAAGAAGGTCGAGTTCGGTGTCCTGACTCACTTCTGCTACGAGATGGATGGAAGCACTGAGCGCATCGAAATTGCTACCACTCGTCCCGAGACCATGGTTGGTGATACTGGTATTGCCGTCCACCCCGACGACAAGCGCTACCAGCACCTGATTGGCAAGAATGCTCGCCATCCGTTCTTGGATCGTCTGCTCCCTATTGTTGCTGACCCCGAAGTCGAGCCCGAGTTCGGTACTGGCGCGGTTAAAATCACTCCTGCCCACGATTTCAACGATTTCAACCGTGGTAAGGCCCACAACCTGGAGTTCATCTCTGTCATGAACGACGATGGTACCTTCAACAAACATGCTGGTCCCTACGCTGGTATGAAGCGCTTTGATGCCCGTTACAAGGTTATCGAGGATCTCAAGGAGAAGGGACTGTACGTCAAGTGGGAGCACAATCCCATGAAGGTGCCTCGTTGTGCCAAGTCCAATGATGTCATTGAGCCTATCATGAAGCCACAATGGTGGATGAAGATGGAAAGCCTGGTTCAGCCTGCCATTGATGCCGTTGAGAATGGCGATATCATTATCCGCCCCGAGTCCGCCGAGAAGAGCTACTTCCGCTGGATGCGCAACCTCAATGATTGGTGTCTATCCCGTCAGCTCTGGTGGGGACACCAGGCCCCCGCTTACTTCGTCAAAATCGAAGGCGAGGATGGTGATGATAGTGACGGTAACCTCTGGGTCACTGGCCGTACCGAGGAAGATGCTCACAAGAAGGCCGAAGAGAAGTTCCCCGGCAAGAAGTTCTCTCTGGTCCGTGATCCCGATGTTCTCGACACTTGGTTCTCTTCTGGTCTGTGGCCCTTCTCTACTCTAGGCTGGCCCCGTAAGACCCACGACTTTGAGAACCTATACCCCACCTCCGTTCTAGAGACCGGTTGGGATATTCTCTTCTTCTGGGTTGCCCGTATGATCATGCTAGGTATCAAGATGACGGGCCAGGTTCCTTTCCGCGAGGTCTACTGTCATTCCCTGATCAGAGATTCCGATGGCCGTAAGATGTCCAAGTCTCTAGGCAACGTTATCGATCCTTTGGATGTTATGGAGGGTATTCAGCTGCAGACTCTTCATGACAAGCTGCAGTT